ATATAGGATTGATGGGATCCTCTCTCAGCCTTCTCTTCTCTGGACTAACCAGGCCCAGCTCCCACAGCCTCTCCTCTCATCACAGAGATGCTCCAGACTCATCATCTTTGAGCTCCAGTAGCTCCTTGTCTTGAACCATGGAGCCAGAGCTGGACCCTGGACTCAGCTCCAGATGTGCCTCACTGGGACCAAGGGGCAGGATCACTCCTGCCCTGCTGGCCACACTCTTCCCAATTCCCCCAGGGTCCCACTGTCCCTCCTGGGCTTGGAATTCCCCCCAGGTGTTTCTCTGCAGAGCTGCTCTCCACTGGGTCACTCCCAGCCTGTCCTGCTCCTGGTTCCTTCACTTTCCTGGAGCTGCTGGGGTCACGCTGCTCCTGGTGCCTCAGGAAACAGGAGCCCTGTGGCTCCACAGGAGTTATCCTGGCAAACACAGAGCCAGCAAAGGAGCTGTCTGACCAGAGGCCCAACCACCCTGGTGCATTTGCTATTTCCAGCTCAACAACTCCCTGTTTGTTTATGAAGAATAAATCAATAATAACTCCAAGGCATCAGCCCCTCTCCTTCCTGTGCCCGAGGACCACCTGTGCTCAGCTCTGCTCTTCACCACCAGCGTGGTCCCCTTTGGCCCCAGAACCAGCAGGACTTCAGCAAACACCACAGGATTTACCTTGGGAGTGATGCAACCTCGTTTTGATGGACAAGGACACGGGCAGCAGATAAAAAACAGCTCTCCTGAGGTATTTGTTGGCTCAGGAAATGGCCAAAAATAGACCTGGTAACTCCTGCCACTTGAGTTAACCTTTGGGCTGTGCCCCTGGAGCTCTCCATGGTTCACTGGGAATTTGTTCCCCTTGTCAGCACAGCAGGTCCTGGCTGAGGACCAGGGCAAGCTGGAGTATGGGGTCAGGAATCTGAATTTTACAGATCTCACCAACTTCCAGGCTGCTGTTTTATCTTGATCTTCAAAATAAATTCACCATCTGAGTGAGAAAGGAGCCAGCTTGGAGGGGCTGCAGAGAGGAGGAGCTGAGACGGCTGGGGAGAGGTGGGAGAGCTGAGGAGCTGCAAGGGAAGAGTGCAGAAGATGGGAAACAGCCAACACAGCAAGAACTGGAGGTGCTGGGGCCAGAGGACAGCTCAGGGCTCCCAAGGCTGCCTTGGCCCTCCTGTCCTGCTCTGCTGGTGCTGTTTCACAGCTGCAATATCCCCAGCACTGCTCTGTCCTCTGGCCCTGCCGCTGCTCCAGCTGCAGCCTGACCTTCTGGCAGGAGCTTCCCTAATTACGTATTCCTTAGGTTTGCTCATCAGCTGAGTGGTGTGAACCAAACCCTGCCCTCCCTGTGTGAGTGGGAAATGTCTCTGGGCAGTGGGAGGAGGCAGAGAAGAATTTACAGGGAAAAAACAATGGCTTGGAATTCTTGGTCTGCACCAGGAAAATAGCAGCAATAATTCATTTCACAGATACAGCTGTTTCCCTAACAGGATAAACAAAATCCTGGCTTTTCTGCAGCTTTATCAGCCAGGAACAACTGAGAACAATTACGTGGATCCGTCTGATTGTAACCCCTAAAAATAAATCAATTAATAAATCAATAAGCACTGTTAATACAGCTTAAACAAGCAAGACCCAGCGAGGGCAGGAGATGTGGAGCTACCACAGGTTCTGGTGATGAGGGTCCAGAACTGCCCAGTGCTTGTGCTGGTGGTGCTGCTCAGCCCGTGCCCTTGGCTTGTGCTGGTTGGAAACAGCAGCACGGGGCTGCTTTGTCCAGCTTTGACCCCACCCTGCTCCTCCCTGGAGGGCAGGGACCTCTCATCCCCTCTATCCCTAAATCTAAAAGCCCACTTTGATCCTTCAACAGAGATTTCTGCTCCAGGTTGGACTCTTCCCCCTCCCCAGCACATTTTACATCTTGCCCTGTCCAGATTGGCCTAAGAGCTTCTTCATGAACCTTCTCCTGTTTCGTTTGGTCAAAGGCTTGTTGTTGCTCAGGGCTCTACTTGAAAATCTTTTTCACAGAATCATTGAGGCTGGAAAGGTCCTCTAAGACCATCAAATCCAACTATCAACCCGTGGTCATCACTAAACCGTGTCCCCCAGTGGCACATCCACGTGTTTTTTTAGCTTTTCCAGGGATTGTGACTCCAGCACTGCCCTGCTCAGCCTGTTCCAATGATTTACAATCTTTTCCATGAAGAATTTTTCCCTGATGTCCAACGTAAACTTCCCCTGGTAACAACTTGAGGCTGTTTCCTCTTGCCCTATTGCATCTTGCCCTTAACCTTACTTCATTTTAGGGAAAAAAACAGCTCTCAGAAGGGTTTGGGTTATTTTCCTCCATTCCCAAAACTTCTGCTGGGTCTGCCCACAGCACCACAACACCCCAGGCACTGCAGAGCTTCAGAGTGTCCCAGCACAGCCTGGGGCAGTGTTTGGGCTGTGCTGTGGGCCCAGGAACAGCCGAATCCCGGTGTTTGGCACAGCCCATTCCTGGTGTTTGGCACAGCCCATTCCCGGTGTTTGGCACAGCTCATTCCCGGTGTTTGGTACAGCTCATTCCCGGTGTTTGGCACAGCCCATTCCCGGTGTTTGGCACAGCCCAATCCCGGTGTTTGGCACAGGTCATTCCCGGTGTTTGGCACAGCCCATTCCCGGTGTTTGGCACAGCCCATTCCCGGTGTTTGGTACATCCAAATCCCGGTGTTTGGCACAGCCGAATCCCGGTGTTTGGCACAGCCCATTCCCGGTGTTTGGCACAGCCCATTCCCGGTGTTTGGTACAGCCCATTCCCGGTGTTTGGCACAGCCGAATCCCGGTGTTTGGCACAGCTCATTCCCGGTGTTTGGTACAGCCCAATCCCGGTGTTTGGCACAGCCCATTCCCGGTGTTTGGCACAGCCCATTCCCGGTGTTTGGCACAGCCGAATCCCGGTGTTTGGTACAGCCCATTCCCGGTGTTTGGTACAGCCCATTCCCGGTGTTTGGTACAGCCCATTCCCAGTGTTTGGCACAGCCCATTCCCGGTGTTTGGCACAGCTCATTCCCGGTGTTTGGCACAGCCCAATCCCGGTGTTTGGTACAGCTCATTCCCGGTGTTTGGTACAGCCCATTCCCGGTGTTTGGCACACCCAATCCCGGTGTTTGGCACAGCTCATTCCCGGTGTTTGGCACAGCTCATTCCCGGTGTTTGGTACAGCCCATTCCCGGTGTTTGGTACAGCCCATTCCCGGTGTCCCGGACACCGCGCCGGGCATTGACCGCGGGTAACCCACGCCGGCAGGGGGCGTGGCCTGGATATTATTGACAGCCACCTCCTCCAATGGCGCGGCGGTGCGTCTCCCCTCGGCGCAGGGGGCGTGGCTTCATCTCTGCCCACCGCCGTCTCGCCCAATGGGATGTTTCGAAATGGCAGAGTGGGCGGGGAAATCGGGAGCTGGCCACGCCCCCAGGCTCGAGGCTGTTAAAGGCCCCGCCCGGCGGCGCGCGGGAGCTGCTGAGGGGCCGCGCGCGCCCNGGGGGCCCCAGCTCCACACAACACTCTGGGTGCCCCCAGCCACACCTGGCGTGTGTGGGACGCCCGCCCACCGCGGGGGGTTCGCTGTGGGGTTCATTACCCCGGCAGACGCTTCTCGTGATGTCCCGTTTGTGGGTGGGTGTCTGGGCAGCGCGGGGGGAAATTCTTGGTGGTTTTGGTTAAATGAACACAGGGTGAGTTGGCGGGGGGGAGTTTCCCCCATCTGCAGGGCAGGGCAGGAGGTGGTCTGAGGAGAAGGAATGTCCTTTCCCCTGTCCTGTCCAGGAGCCCATCGTGGGGGACCGTGAGGTGTCCTGAGAGCTTGGGAGGCTCTGAGGTGACCTGAGAGGTGGGAATGCTCCGTGAGGTGACCGGAGAGTTTGGGGATGCTCTGGGTGACCTGAGAGATTGGGGACGCTCCACAACGTGACTTGAGATTTTGGGGATGCTCTGGGTGACCTGAGGGATCAGGGATCCCGTGAGGTAACCTGAGATTTTGGGGATGCTCTGAAGGATTGGGGATGCTCTGGGTCACCTGAGATTTTGGGGATGCTCTGGTGACCCAGGTGCTCGGGACGCTCCTGTGCCGGCTCCAGGGGACACAAAGCCATGTGTGGGAGCCGGCAGGGACACGGTGACAATACAGCCCTGTGCTTTCCTGCTCGGCCCGTGGGGATCTCCCCGGGTGCAGATGGGTGGTGAAGCAGCAGTTTTGGAAATAGCAGCTCAGTGGTGAGTCCCACTGCTGGGGAATTCACCTGACACATCCTGGATGAAGCAATGTGCCTGAAATGGAGAGTTCTGTGGTTGTCTGCTGCCCAAGCCATGGGCAGGGGGCAGCTCTCTGCAGCCCAAAGCTCAGCTCTGAAGGTGCTGCGGTGGAGTCTGCAGTCGTGACAGTCACTCATCATCCTAACAGAGGCTGGAGTTACTTTTCCTCCTGTGTTCTCCAGTACCAGGAGGCCATGGGGTACCTGCGGTCAGTGGTGCTGTGTGTACAAAACCTTTAGTGCTCAAGAAGCTTTTACCACTGCCTCTCCTAAAAACCGAGTTTATCTAAGAGGAAGAAGAGTGGGTTGCTCAGCTTTTGTTTCCCCACTTAATGAATCTTTAAAGGGAACAAAAAGGAACAAAAAGGCCCAGGTTTCGGTTCTGATGGTGATGTGGCAATTGCCTGGAGCTGCTGTAGACGGGAGCAGAACGGATGTGGTTCCTTTACCGGTTAAAAGAAATCATCCACAGGAAGCCGAGTGGAAAATGTCAAGTGGCTGATAAAGTGCTCAGTAATTTGAATTTGAACCGGTGCTGTTGAAGCTCTGTGTGTGTTTTAGGTAAAGGTGTGTCCAAAACCTGTTAGAAATTCAAACTGCACCTCTACTCCCTTCAATGTCACAAGTTTGCACGTCCTCAGACCTTTATTCTGGTTTGTCAGTGAAGCCCTATAGTGATTCCAAAGAAACACCCCATTTCCACTTCTGCTGGGTCAGGTGCTCCCTCAAAGCAGAACGCATTTTTATTCAAATGATTTAAGGAGTCAGACAGGCTTAATTAAAAGGGAGGTTTCTTCCTGCAGGTTTTTTGCCTGGGAGTGTGTCCTCCATGTTCCCAAACACTGTGGTACTTCATGGTGTGCTGATTCCTCAGGGAACAGCGTGGGGTGGGAGCATTTGGTGTCCAAGAGTTACACCTGGCTCTGGTGAACCATGGAATGGTTTCAGTTGGAAAGGACCGTGAAGATCATCCCCTCCTAACCCTAATGTGTTTTACAGTGGCTGTGTTTGAAACTAAGCATTAGGGAGGGAAGAGCCGTGCTGCAGTGCTGAACAAAGCTAGGCAGGCTCTGTATATATTGGGAAATATTTGCTTCTAACCTGAATCTGCTGGATAAAATGCATGTCTGGTTTGGGAAGCTGCACAATCAGAATGCACTTCAGCTCATGGTGTGAGTGTTGTGCACAGTGAGAGCAGAATTCGGGCATGGTCTCCACTGGGAAGAGCTTTTCCCTCTTGGGTGACTGAAGGTGATGCAGAAAGCCTTGGTCCTACCATGGACATGAAAATTAGAGGGATGGAACACCTCTGCTGTGAGGGAAGGATGAGAGAATTGGGATCCTTCAGCCTGGAGAAGCTTTGGGGTGACCTCATTGTGGTATTCCAGGACCTGAATGGAGCCTGCAAGAAAATGAGAGACAGAAAGACAGAGACTATTGGAAAGGGCCTGGAGTGCCAGGGGGAATGGCAGGGTTAGGTCAGGTATCAGTAGGAAGTTCTTCCCTGGGAGGGTGGGCAGGCCCTGGCACAGGGTGCCCAGAGCAGCTGTGGCTGCCCCTGGATCCCTGGCAGTGCCCAAGGCCAGGCTGGATGGGGCTTGGAGCAGCCTGGGATGGTGGAAGGTGTCCCTGCCATGGCAGGGGTGGCACTGGATGGGATTTAAGGTCCCTCCAACCCAAACCATTGGGGAATACCGTGATTCCCTGACCGCTGGAGTGAAAACACCTCACCCTTTCCCTTGAAACTTCCTTGCTGCACTAACGCACAGCTGGCAGGAGAAACGCTGTAACTTGTGCAGGGGTCACAGCTTCCCCCAGGGCCACTGGGGTGCCCTGAACCCCTCGTTGTGGGGTGCTGGGACAGAAAGTGGGAGCAGCATTGCGAAAGGGGGTCAGGAGCGATGGCAGCCGCTGCCATCCGTCCCTCCTGGGCTCCGCTCGGCTTTTCCTTGGGCAAGAGAGGCCGTGGGGACAGCTCGGGTGGCACCGCGGGTGGCTTTGGGCTCCTCGGGGCTGGGCAGATCTGAGCGGCTGCTCCGAGCACGGCGGGGCTGCAGATCCAGCAGCACCTTCCCACCCTCCCAATAAACCCCTCCTGTGTTCCAGCCCGGAGCGGCTGTGCTGCAGCGTGTGCCAGCTAGCCGTGCCATTCAGAAACGCGTGTTTTACACACATCCCGCTCTCGCTGCTCATGAATTAAAACTATTTCTGGCGTGGTGACTCGCAGGCTGGAGCTGAGCGTGGCGTGAGCAGCAACGTGTCCTTGCACTGATGAGTGAGCGGAAAGGGGGATGGCCCTGAGCTGTGCCTGCCTTGGCTTTCCCCCTCCCGCCACAGGTTGGATCCTGCAGCCTGCTGGGTCGGATTTATGACATAAAAAGATTTTTTCATTCCTGTCCCTCACCGAGACGAACATGCCCCTCGCATCATACTGTTTAAATGCGTCTAATGCAGGTACAAAATAGCAGCATAAAATCCACTTCTTAGAGAGATCAAGGATAATGGGATTCATCTCCAATCAGCTCGAAATCCCTTGAAACAATTAAAGCTCAGCCTGGCGACTCATAAGCATCAAAGGCTTTTGATGAGTGTAAACCTTAAATAAAATCAGCGTTTAGAAAACACATCGTTTAGGCGATGAAATCCCTTAAGACAAGGTGCTGAAAGCAGCGTGGGAGCCACCAAAAAAAAAACCAAAAAAACCACCCCAGCTACAAAACGCTTATTTTGATGCGAACGGGCTAAATGTGAGGTGTCTCGGGGCTGTGTCCCCCCAGAGGGACCCCAAATCCGGGGTGTGCCGAGCCTGGCGGGGCCAGAGCCTCCTTAAGAGGCGGCGGTGTGGGGTGACGAGCCGCTTCCAATTGCAAGGCAGCAGCACATGACATAAGATGCTCCACATTTGCCTCCTGGGCGCTAGTTTAAAAATAAAGGATATTACACGTCGGGCTCGGAGCGGCTGCGGAGGGGAGGCTGCGGGACGGGCGATGCGCGGTGAGGCTGGAGGGATGCGGGGGCTGCCCAGCATTTGGGACATTTGGATTGAAATTGTTCGGCTCGTGGTGCTCTTGGGGGGTTGTGGGTGTCACGCCGGCTCTGCTGGGGGTTTTTGCAATGAGCAGAGCGTGCCTGCTGTCAGAATTTCCTGTATTTCGTGCAAATGCTGCAGGCTCGGGTTGTGCCTCTTTGGGGTTGCCTCGCTCACGTCAGTGGAGCTGCTTTGCTGTGACGTTTGGCTGTATTTGAATTTTTCAGACCTGTTTTCGCAGGGACAGTGCTGTGTGAGTCAGACGCGAGGATGGCACTTGCAGAACCTGTCTCTGTGGCTTATTGCAATTCAGCTCTTCAAGGGAGCTGTGAGGTGTCACAGGAAGATGTGCTGCTCAACTCTTCACCCAGGTTTGTCTAATTTAGGATTTTATTCACCCTGTTGCCACCTGTATATATAGTTTGTATTCTACCGTGCTTACTTTGATTATTAAAATGATTTTGGAAGAGCCCTGCCTCTGCAGGGAACAGCTCATGTGCAGTATCTATACTGATCTCAAATTCCTGCTGGTAAGAGGCTGCTTAGATTTACAGACTAAAGAGCAGATTAGGGTCTATATCTCACCACAGCATAATGGGATCTAGCTGACTAAAACCACTTCACCTCAATTTTTTGGGGCTGCATTGAATTACATGTTGTAAGGGGGAGAAAAAATGACTTGATTGACTGCAAGGGAAATAGCTGGGGCTTTTCTGCTCATATTACTGGGTCATTTGCATGCTTTGATCATAAAAGCTGGTGGAGAAATGGTGCAGAACTATTGCAACTGAGGATTAATTTGTGCTGAAAAATGTTCTCAATAATGAGGAGGGAGCACGGAGATGGGAATATCTCATAATACCCTTGGGGGAAATAAAGAAATTATTTACTCAGCCCTGGTTGCTGGCTTGCAGATTAGTACAGAGAAGCAGTTCTGCTTTAGGACAGGACATGGGATCAGCCATGTCAGATCTTCCCTGGGCCTTAAACCTCCTCATGTGCCCAAAGCAGTCACAGTTGACTGTTCCCTAGAAATTCAGAATAAATGTAGATTAGAGGGAAGAGATTTGCCCCTTACCCTGAAATTCACAGTGCCTGGATTGTCTTGTCTCTGGCCTGCTAGAAAGGAAATAAAAGGTGGGACTTGGTGGGAGCCCTGCCTGGCTGAGGCTGAGGAGTTTGTGTGGGCCCAGAGCAGCTCACCTGTGTGATGTGATGGGCAGGGTCAGGGCTCCTTTCTGCCCCAGAGCTGCCCCTGCAGTGTTGGGGTTATTGTGATGTCAGGGCCCTTCTGGATGAGCCTGGGGCTGGTGCTGCAGGTGTTGCTGTGGAGAAGGGAAAACACCGGCCTGGAGAAAACATCTGCGTGATGGGCTGAAGAAAAGGGCCCGGTAGGGCAAGGCAGGATGGAAAGTTTGGGTCTCTGCAGTGTAACCTTAAATCAGCTAAAACTCAGACCTCAATGCTCTGCAATGGTCCAGGCAGGGCATTGCCCAGGGCAGGGAACAAAGCAGCAGCTGCCTGCTTGGAGGGTGAGATTCCCAAATCTCACTGGGTCTGGCTTCCAGCTCCTGCTCTCAAGTGGGATATGAGACTTGATTATCCCTTACCCTCCTCATTAAGGCTGTGAGACAGTCCAGCTTGGAAAGGGATGGAGTAAGAGCAGTTTGGCAAGCAGGCAAGTGGTGTTTCACCAGCTCCTGCAGGGCTGAAAGTGAAAGGACACCTCAGCTGGGAGGAGTGGCTGAAGCACGCCGGGATGAGCCCATTTCTGTTTCCTCCCAAGCTCTGGTGGGAGCACTGGCTTTAATAAGAATACCTAAGAACAAGATTTCCTGTTAAATCAATTTCCTGCTCTTTTGCAGGAATCTGTGGGTTTCCCCATGGGGTGACTCCAGTGTCCCCAGGGCTGTCCCTGTTGCTGGACTCACATATTGCAGACAGGAGATGAGTTCCAGATCCGAGTGTCCCTTCCTGCCCCCCTTCTCCTCCTCCTCCCAGCTGCAGGCTCTTTGTTTCAGGCACCTGGAGCAGCCTTTAGGAATTAAATGATGGCTGTTTTGGGATGATGTTTATGCATTCTTCTGCAGCTTGTCTGCAATGAAAGCTGCAATTAGGACAACGCTCATGTGTTCAAAACTATCACAGGCAGAGCTTTCACACTGAGAGGGACCTGTTCCATTGCTGGGGCCATCCAGGGTACTGAATTAATAAAATCACCTGCAGAACATCAGGAATCACTTTGACATCCAAGGGCTGAGTGACATTAAGGGATGGAGCAAATCTGCCTGTGGCAGGCGGCCCTCAGTGTTCTCATCCAGGGATAATTCCTTTTGCCTTGCAGAACTGCTGAGCCACACAACAACAACAGCGAGCCAGGGGAAGATTCCAAGATGGAGAAATATCAGGTGAAGTCACTCGATCCCAAAGGTGAGTGGATGGAAGTTTGGGGACTGTGGGGTGCCTGAAATTATTATTGCAATGAGAGAAGGATTTGTTTGACAAATCTTTGTCTTCCATGACAATGGAAGAAGCGGCTCAGGTTGCAGGATGGGTTGTGCAGAAGTGTCTGGAACTCAGGCTTTAAAGCACAGCTGTGCATCCAGGATTAAATAGGCAGTGTCAGTGCCTGGTGCTCATCTATCAGGTACCAGTGTCCTGCTTTCAGTCCTCTTTAAAATAAAAAAACCCCTAAAAATAGCAGAGTATGAGATGCAGGAAACTTTCACCTTACCTGTACAAGAGCCTTAGGGCAGCAGAGCAGGTTAGAGGGGACATAAGTGGGAAATGTTTAACAAAATTTGAAAGTGCTCTAGAGGTTTCTAGTGTAAAGTACTGGGGGTCACATGGCAAAATTGCCACGAAGAAAGGGTGAGAAAAGGGGGGGAGGTATAACAGCCTTTCCTTTCATGTGCTTGATACTTGTATTTCTATTGTTGTTATGGCAGCAGGAAATTTCTAAATTTAAGATGCTGAACACTTTTCTTTCACAGCAGCCTCCTCCCCTCCTGGCTCCAGTGTGTGGACGACGCGTTGTGATGGAGAGGTCAGGCTGAGGATGGAGGAGCAGGGCTTTGGCAGCGAGGCCCCAAAGACTGTGCACCAGCTGTTGCAGGAAAGTGTGAACAAATACAGTGACTTCTATGCCCTTGCATCCAAAAAAAATGGCCAGTGGATAAAGCTGACATATAAGATGTACTATGATGAGTGCTGGAAAGCAGCCAAAAGCTTCCTGAAGGTAAGAGTTTGTTGAATTCTCTTTGTACATATTCACAGAATCCTAAAACCAGAATGGTTTGGGTTGGAAGGAACCTTAAAGCTCATCCCATTCCACCCCCTGCCATGGGCAGGGACACCTTCCACCATCCCAGGCTGCTCCAAGCCCCGTCCAGCCTGGCCTTGGACACTGCCAGGGATCCAGGGGCAGCCACAGCTGCTCTGGCCACCCTGTGCCAGGACCTCTACACCCTCCCAGGGAAAAATTCTTTCCCAATATCTGATGTAAACCTCTCTTATTTTAATTTAAAACTGTTCTCCCTTTTCCTACCACTGTGTAAAAAGTCAGCTTTAATGTTCACTCATTAAGTGCTGGAATGGCAGTGTTCAAGTCTATCTTAAACCTGCAAATTCCCTGAGTACAGATGAATCTTACAGTGACAGGGAAGTACCCAAACATGCTCTGGACACCTTGGTATTTAATTTTTTGACAGTTACTTCTACATTTAACCAAGTAAAAAAGCAAGTAAGGAAACATTTAAAGTGAGGTGTTTGAGATGTATGGCAGACCCGGACACTGCTCCTCCAGAGGCATGGAAAGGTTCATCTTTCTAAGAGAAAAACTTAAAGGGATGTTTACAAACCTGGCTTAAATGTCCCCCATGGCCCAGCCTTTGGCTTGTGCTGCTGGGATTAGAAGACTTGGAGACAGAAACCAACAATACCTGTTTTTACTGTTGGGACCAAGTCTTAGCTCTTCAAGTTAAAGCCAGCCTGGTTTTACTTCTGTGGTGGGATCTGGGACAAAACCAGAGTCTGGCTGAGGGAGTTAAAGACTGGGACTCCAAGAGCTGGAATTTCATGGCCAAGTGGGGCTGCCACTGGAGCTTGTTGCTCTGGCCATTATTGATATCTGACATTCCCAACTTGTACCAAATGTCCCAGGAGGTGCTGCCTGACTTCACCTCTCACCTCATTCCCAGCCCAAGGGGAACTGGTAACTCCCTGGATTGCAGGTTTATATTCCTGTTAGTGAATTCCAGTGTGCCAGTCTTTCCAAGGGCAGACCTCAGCAAATCCCTATTTTCCTGCCTGCTTACACTTGGACAGTGATGTGAAACTTCCACTGGTTCCATCTTGGCCCCTGGGGAGTTTTCCAGTGGGAATTACCCCGTGTAAGAGCAGGAACTCTTCCCTCAATGCTGTGCTCACAGCAGAGATCTGCAAATGAACCCTGAGCTGTGTCCAGAGGAGAAGCCAGGTTGCTGTAATTCCATCTCTTGTTTACAGCTGGGCCTGGAGCGTTTCCATGGAGTGGGCATCCTGGGATTTAATTCTGCAGAGTGGTTCATTGCTGACATTGGAGCTATCCTTGCAGGGTAAGACTCTTGTTTCTTGCCATGCATTTTGCTTTGGCAGGCAGAGAGTGACTGCAGTATTCACATGAGAAGCAGGTTTTGATTAAAACCCCAGTAAAACAAACCAAAAAAAACCCAAAGCAAATTGCTTTTATTTGGGTTTAATGAAGGTGGATAGTAGCTGAACTATTTCATAATGAATTAATGAGACAAAAATGAATTCCTTTTTTTTTAGCCGGCTGCTTCTCTCAAAATAAGATAACCAGAGGTTAATCCAAAAGCATTCTTATGTACACAGTGATTAAAATATGGTGGGAAGTGCCAGAGAATTCCAGGGCTGGATTGTGATATCTGCCTTCCACATGAGATATTTTGGTCCCTCGCACCACTCTTGACATTTCACATGCCCCAGAACAGAATCTTTCCTCTAGGAATTAAGCTCTTCCCTCTTTGTTGTCATTTTATGGGATATTCTTCCTGAAGTTTTTTCTCTGACATGGTCTGAATTTTGCCAGCAACTCTGCTTGTCCTCTAACTCTGTGTTTTTCTTTTCTGTTTTGTTTTTTCTCCTTTCCCAGGGGATTTGCTGTTGGGATCTACACTACAAACTCTCCCGAGGCCTGTCATTATGTGGCAGAGAACTGCAGTGCCAACGTTATAGTGGTGGAAAACCATAAACAGCTGCAGAAAATCTTAGAAGTAATAATGTTTTTTAAATGGCTAGGGGTTACAGCTACCTGTTGCCAGATGTGGGAGGGCAAAATGCTGTGGGAGGACATTACCTGAGGGGAGTGCTGGGTCTGAGAGCAGAGGTGAACTCCTTGGTGTGCTCCCTGCTCCAGCCAGGTGAGCTGGCACTGGCTCTGTGTCTCACAAGAGTTTAAGTGGTGCTTTCACTTCTTAAAAGCCTTGGGCTTAAAATAGAAGAAGCCAGAATGAACAACTGAGCATCCTCTAGGTTGTTTGGCAACATCCCAGCTCAAATTATGATTGTTTCTAGTGAGGCAAACCCATTCTTTCAGGAGCACAGATGTGATTCTCTTGGCTTAACATAAAGTGTCAAATGTGAGGAGTGTGCTAAGTGGGGTTACAGAGGCCTGAAAGGGACAAGCAGCATTTGCTCCTTCTCACGAACCTCCCTTCCTGACACAGATTGAAGACAGACTACCTCATCTGAAGGGCATTGTCCAGTACGGGGAGGAGATCAAAGAGAAGAGACCAAATCTGTACTCGGTAAGTCCTGGGCTTCCTCATGCCTTCCGAGTCCTGGTTGTGTTCAGCTGCTGGCTGCAAGTACCTGTCACCTGCTGTGGGGCCTTAAACATCTGCTGGGGGACACACAGGATGTGGGGGACATCCCTGTCCATGGCAGGGCCTTGAATGAGATGGTGTTTAAGGTCCCTTCCAACCCAATCTGTGACTGTGATCCCCTGAGCTTGTGTTGGCTGTGGTGGTGTCTGCTGTTGTGCAACCTGGATAATCCATGTTGTAAGGGGGCTGTGAGCCTCCTGACCTTTCCCCGACACCCTCAGGCCCCACAGTTGCTCCAGGGAGTTGCTACAGAGCTGTAAAGCTGCTGGGGGTGGGTCTGTCTCTATTCTGCTCCTCTCTGTGT